AAGGAAAATCGATCAAAAACCTAAACGAAAATCAGAAAAAAATATTCAAATTTATATTATCAACAGCCATTGTTTTAAAATCAGAGCAGTGACGACAGAGGGTTTCAAATTCCACGAAAAAGTGTAAACAATTATATTTTTTAATTCCGCCAATGCTGCATACAGATAATTTTGCCATAGAGGTGTACAATTTTTATTTTTTTTTGGTGTGTGTGTGTATTTTTATGCAGACTTACATACAAATGTACATATATGTACATATGTGCACCTTCGCTGCGCTTCTACATCATTCTATGCGGTCAACGACTATTCGACGATCGACAATTTTCTCGCCAACGACACCACGTTGCATCAGCTTTTTTCGTTGTTGTTGTTTAAGCATTGGTTAAATCTTGCCGAGTGACGGTGCTGCAATAACACAGTTGTTGTTTACATCAAATAAATATGTTTGGCCACAAAAGTTGTTCATACGTTTGGAATTTTTTAAGTTGCATAATTGTTGTTCTTGATTGCTATGATATGAATGTGCTGGAATATTTTTTTGTTTTGGTTTTTGTTTTCATGCTCATGAATCATTGAAATCAAGCATGGACAAAATCTAAACGATTTTTGCTTTATTAAAAATATTAAATTTAGGAACCACAAGGATTTAACGAAAATTTTTTGAAGAATTTTCAGATTTGCTAAATCAAAAAAATAGGTTTTATCAACAGTTTAAAATTTTTAATTTTCAGATTTTACAAAATTTTTGACAAAGTTGTGCTTGTTATGAAATGCTGAGAATTAAAAAAATTATAGAAAATTTAAATTTTTCGACTTAAGTTTTTGTTAATTTTTTTATTGTGTAAATATGTATGGTTTATATTAAAAAAATATATATTTACAAATTTTTAATTCTTAAACAAAAAAGTTTATTTAAATACATACTTAAAATATATCTAACAATAAAATTCTTTGTTATAAAAACGTAAAATTTTTACGTTTGTTCTATACAACATTTTCAATCAATTATAAAAGTTTGAATCTTAAGCTTCATTGATAAATTTTAAATTTTTTTTTGTTGTTTTTTATATATTTGCACATATGTATGTATGTATGTATATCTATACATGTTTACACATTTTTTAACTTCGCAAATAATTCTCATAAAATATAAAAAACGAAAATGTAGGTACATGCATACATATGTACGTACATATGTATATAATCTTAGTATTTCTTTGTCTGCGCCACCAAAATTTTTTTCACTGACAGCTTGGAAGAAAACAACAAATAAATCTATAACAAAAGATAAAGCCCTGCATTGGATGAAAAACAGTCACAAAAAAAAAAAATCTAAAAAATATTTCCATCAACAAAATTTGAAGTGAATTTACATTTCCCCAAACCCTTAACAGCATTTGACTGAAAGTGACAATTTTCGTTTAATAAAATCTGCATACAAAAAGTACACATTCAGCAAAAGTGAAAAAAAAATGTAATGTAAACACCCAACCCGACTTGAATCCGTCCTACTCCCTTTTTGTAGAAACAAATTTACACTTAAATCGAGGGAAGTTAAAAGACTGCATTTTTACAAGGCATTTTTTGTGGTGAACAAGTAAATAAAAAACAGTTAACTCAAAAGCGCAATGAGTGCTTCGAAAATCCAAAAAAATCTGGAAACAATTTTTCCAGAAAGGCATACCCATTGATTTGGAATATTCGAGAATGCAACGAAAGCTGCGATCCATTGAAGGAACGCAGCTGAGTGCGGTCTAAGTGTTGCCAGAAGTTTTTAAGCGAAACTTTTGTGAGTGAAGAGTGGAAGCTTTTGAGAGTGAAAAAAAACGTTCCAAAAGTGTAGAGGAGAAACTGTTCAACAATTTTGCATTTTTATACACATTTCAAATACGAGATAAGAAGATCTTTTTAGGAAAAGTTAAAGACTGAATATACGCAAAGAAAAGTTTAACAAAATAGTGAATTTTTCATAATAAAAAATAAGTGCAATTCTCACTCAAAACATAAAAGAAAAATATACAATACAAACTTAATAGATAAAGCAGGCTGCAAAGAGTGCAACAAAAAGTTTAGTGCATAAAAATTCTACAAAATTTTGCTATGCATTTGGGAGCATTTTTGTGTGAAAAGAAAACTCTGAACGAAAGTGTTTGGCATGAACTTAGAAAATAATGAAAATCTTAATAATTTAATACTTTAATTTAAAACTGAATGAGATAAAATTTAAAAAGAAAAAAAAAAAGAAAAAGAAAAAATCACACTGGTAGGCTCAACAACGGTGAACTGCGCCTGGCGAGTGTGAAAGCTTTTTTAAGTGAAACACTTTATGTGAAGAGAATTCAGCGAAAGCTCACACCACGCGCTGTTGTTGCTATAGAAAACAGTGAGTTCGCTTGAAAAAGTGACAGAAAGAGAGGGAGAAGAAAATAGCAAAGTGACAGAGAACCAGCATTTTAATGTAAGAAAGAGATAGCAAGTGAAAAGAATAAGACAGATGCACCTGATGAACAAAGGATATAAACACATAAAATTTGCTTAAGTTAAAAACTTGAAGATTTGAGTTAGGAAGTCTTCAAATTAATGGGTCTAAAGACGATTGGTTAGTTGACAAAGAAAGTGTAAAAAAAATAAAATTTTGCCTCCAAAAGCTATATTATTTATTTGGCAAAAAAAACTCCAAAAACTCCGAATAACTCAACCTGCAAGCTTAGTGTAAAAAACTATTAATTTCGGAATAAAAAAAATTACAATTGCATGGAGCGGTAGAAAATTATGGAAATGGTTTAAGTGAATGAAGAGAAGAAAACAATTGTGGAAAGATTTAAAAAAAATTGGGTGTGTAAATACATATGAATCTTCAAAGGTAAAGCACGCAAATATTTTTTTTATACATTAATGGAAAAAAGATTTCATAAAAAAATTGCCATTTAAGAAAAATTAGATAATATCAGTGTCTAAATAGTTTTAAGATTTAAATTCGTTAAGTATTTTTCTGCTATGTTTGAAAAATGTTTTGTTGTTTCTATTTAATACACATTTTTTTTATAGATGTAAAAAAAAAATTACACTTCGATAAGCGGCAGGAATTAAATTTTAAAATTTTAAAATTTAATAATGTTCAAAAAATCTTTGTTTTTTAGGAAAAGCTATAGAAATGGAGCCTTAACTTCTCGAAAGGAAGCATAATTGAAATGATTGAAAATTTTTAATTGAATATAGCTCAAAAATGTAATAAATTGGATTTAAGGACTAGTTTGCCATCACCCGTTTCGCTGAGTGTATACAATTTCTGCGTGTTTCAGTTAAATTCAACATATTTATCTGAGCTAAGAATTAACAGATGTTTACATTTTGCTTTTATTATACCCTCTTCAAAATATTTTCAAATTTAAACCTTCTGAAACCCAAATTGTGATGCAAACTTTAATTAGGCAATTCCCTTAATTCAAGTCGAATTTTATTTACATAAAAATTAAAAAAAAAAATAGCAAAAAGTTCAAGCTTAAAAAAATTTATAAGTTTTCAATAGTTCCTCCAAAACTTAAGAAAATTCTATATTTTCTATACTTCTTTAAGGTTTTTGAAGTTTTAAAATATTTTATTTATTTCAAAGTTGCAATTAAAAATTTCTCAATATATGTAATCATGTCAAATATTTTCAGCACAGTTTAATAAAAACTTGAATTCGCAAATTTTTAAAATTGTATCGAAAAACTCAGAAAAGATTTTTTAAAGTCAGAGATAGATGGAAACTGAATTTGATAAAATATGTTCAAATTTTTTAGCTAAAAAAAAAAAATTTTGAAATTTTAGAAATTCAGAAACATATACATGCATGTGCATAAATTACTATTCTTTGTTCATCGAAAACGGCCTTAAATTCAATAAAATTGTCGAAGAGAAATTTGACTAAAAAATTTTTTAGAAATTTAAAGAAAATCTTATGGGACCAATATATGTCCTTCTCAAGTCAAAATTAAAAAAGCGAAAACCGCTGAACAGAATTTGCTTTTTTTACTGGAAAGTGAAAATGCCAAAAAATAAAAATGCTGTAGCTTTTAATATTTCTTTATTATTTTCAGTTCAAAAATTTGTGTGTTTTTGATATTTTACAAAAGTTAGAGACTTTGAGCAAATACAAACATTTTAAAAACACTCGTGCTTACATTTTTTAAGTTATGAAAAAAAAATTTAAAAACTTTCAAATTAATATAACTCTAAAATTATGTACAATCGACTATGTGTTATGTTGAAAAAATTTCAATCTCTCCGATTCCACCAAATCCATAATGAATTAGAAAATATATTTTTTATCTATACAAAAAAGGATTTTCTTCTAGGCTTTTGGTGTTTTTGAGAGTTTTTTACGTTCAAAGAAATTTATTAAAAATTATAAAAAATTGCAAAATTTCAAATGTACGCAATTTAGTACGGTGTGTGGGTTATGAGATCGTTATATGAAAACCTTTCGATAATTTTTTTATTTTGATGAAAGTAGCAGAAAAATACTTAAGTTTTTTTAAACTGTGAGTTATTAAAAGAAATTAAAATTAAAATATTATGTAAGTTGCAAGATTTTCAACAATTTCGTCAGCTGGATATTCTATCAAATAAAAATATAGAAACTAAAGCAACTCGTTTGAAATTAAAAATAAAACTTAAAAATAAATTTAAGACTGAACAAAACTGCCTTAAAAAGAGAGTATTACTGCTTTAAAAAGAAAACCACGAATATAGAATAAAAGCGTTTTCAACAAACCCTTTAAATAATTCTCAAAACTATCAGAATCAAAATCTGCATTTTCAACGCACAGCAGTAAAAATATCAAAATGTTTTCGACGCTGCTGCGTTACCCTACCTAGAAATGGCGTCACAATCGCTAAATAACACCCCAACAACATGTTGCGCAACATGCCCTGCAATGCGCAACATTTTAATCAAACTCAACGCAATAAGTAAATAACAAATACAACAACAATAAAAACCACCAACTCCAATGAATGCCAACCAGTTGGCGTCGGAAGTGGCAGCAAAAACAGCGATCACAACAGGCAACACTAACAAGAACAACAGCCCTGGCAACACCAGCAACATCGATGTTGCTGACGAATCCATGAATCTGAGTGTACTGGGGAAACACGAGAAAATTGCTAAACATTTGAAGAGTGTAGCTGCTGGTAAACCGGATGTGAAAGAAGATAGCAGCAAAAGCAGTGGAGGAGTGGGCTATGAGCCGAAACAGAATGGACAATATCGAGAATGTGATGAGCACATGGATGGCAGAGAGACGCCAACGAATAGCTGGCAGCATCACCGCGTAAATGGTGAAAAGTCAGCAACAACAACCCCACATGGCAGTAGCAACAGTAACAGCAGCAGCGCTGTGGGTGACAACAAACCGGAATGTGGTGGAGAATCGCCACCTAAGAATCGGGATGTACTTGAAGAAGGTGAAGAGAGAGGGCAAATTGAGGGTGAACGCGAACGCGCTGAGTCCCCAGCAGATGAAGGCGATTATGGGCGACTTCACACAGCCACAATCATAAAAACACCACTCACAAAGACGCTACTGAAGCGCTGTAGCGGCTATAGTGCGCTGAGCGGCAGCAGTGGAAGCGGAAATGGCAACGGAAATGGCAGTGGGAATGGAAATGGACACGGGTATGGAAGTAGCACTCATATAGGGGCACCCTCAACCGCACACACAGTGTCGGCATGCTGCAGCGGCCAGGGGCACGCCGCCACCACTTCAGCCACCGCCACCGCCAGCGCCACCAATGAGTGTGGTCACAACTGCTGCGCCGGTAGAGATGATGACGACGAGGAGGCGGAAGGCGAGCAACAACAAGCGTCACCCACACTCGTCGAGCATACGGCATTCAATGGGGAAGATGAGCGCTCGACGCCACCGTCACCACAGCCGCCACCACCGCCCTCTCCATCATCGCAGGCGTCGTCGTCACACAGCTTTCTGCATAAAATGCCAACAGCTATATCGACAGCAACAACAGAGTCAACTGCGGCTGATGCTACTGGCGGCAGTGCGGCAAAATGTAGCAAATGCAATAACAACAACAATATACATTACAACAACTACAATTGTTACTATCGGAAAAAGTCGCGCATGCCGATTTGCCGTTAGTATAATAAAAGAAAATCTATTTAGATAATTTTATTTTTCAGATTTTTACATACAATGCAATTTACCTAATTTTTAAAGACTTTAATTGGCAATAAAACGGTTTGTGAAAATTGACAACACATACGAATAAGAAGCTTTAAAATAAAAACAATAAAAAATTCAAATTCACAAGGTACAAGCAACAAAGTCAATCACCAAAAAATTGGCTTCTAAAAAGGATTTTTTTTACAGAATCAAAAAAAAAACAATTTTTTTTTTAATATTTCAAAAATACAGTACTAGAAAACTTGTGCACTCTTACCATAAATCCACATAAATTTGCTTCTAATAACCAACAAGATTCGTTGAAACTTTTTTTTTAAATAAATATTCACAAAACCAAGTATTTATTAAGTACTTCCAGACTCCTAAAAATGCAAAAGTCTCAACAATTTATTTTGAAAATTTCCACATTCAAAAACAAGAAAAAAATAACTGTTTAGCAACCGACTTTTAATTATTGGTATTCTTCATGTTTTTGAAATTCTTCAAAATTACAAGTACACAAAACCACACATTCATATAAATGGCCTTTTAAAACCAAATACCATTGGATACAAGTTTTTTAAATTTACTTATGTCCTACTTGAAAAATGAAAAATTATACACACATTCAAACCAAACCACCAACCCAATCTAACCTAACCACCAAACATTATAAATTGGCATTCACAATAACACCAAGAGAAGAATGCTCAAAAATTTCGTATTTATACGGAAAACATGTATATATGCTTCTCGTATTAAACAATAGCTGAAATTAAATAAAATTGCAAATATCTCTTTTTTTTCAAAAACAAAATTTTAAAGATCCAAAATTGGTAATGATTTTAAGTGAACTTAAAAGTTCAGATGTGAAAAATACAAAAAATTAATGCAAAATTGGCGAACTCAGATTTTAGCGGGTTGGCTCTTGAAAACAAAAAAAATATATATCGAAATTAAACCACCAACAAAAAATTGGCAAACACATAAAAAAAATCTAAAGAAAAATTGCATTAATCTAAAAATTTATTTTTTCATTAGCTAAGAACACAGCAGAAATTGGTAACAAAAAACATTTATTCCAAAAGAAATGTTCCAAACTTTTATAAAAAACTTGTAAGAGCAAATTGGCTGATGGAACATTTATATCAAAAATAAAAAGGACACAAAAATCAACACTGTTCACCCGAAATTCATGCACCCCCGAATTGGCTTTGCAAATTTTCCTGCCTCCAAAACCACACAACCCAAATAATGCAACAGAATTGAAGATCTCTCCCGCTGCCACAAAACTTTTCTTCAAAATTTATATTTTGGCAAAAAAAAAGTCGAAATTTTCGATAAATCATGACGTCCATAGGTAAATTGCAAATAAATTAATTTTAAGTTATAATTTTTAGTATCTAACAAAATTATTTAATATTCGTGTTTGATATTACATTATTGACTATTTTATTTAAAAACCAACATTTCACAATTTTTACAAAAAAAACAAAAACACATTTCTCAAATTAATGCTTTCTAATATTTACACAAACAGTGCTGCCCAAAACTTAACGCACGGGCAGAGGTTTTATGAAACTTTAGTTATATTTTACATCGACCTGCAACGCGAAGAGAGAGCTTTTACGCTGTGTGTGTCCAAGTAAAAACTTTATAAAGTTTAAAAAGTTACACCCGTGGAATATCTTTTGATCCATGCTGATATACTTATATGTACACCCACAGACTAATCGCTCTCTTTTCACGCTACATTTCGGCCACCGCTGCTTTGCGTACAAGAAAAATTCCTACTTGTCCATTCATTCACTTCTTACTTAATTCTCAAAAGCTTATCAAATGGATGACTTTAAAACGGTGATGGGCACTGCCTTGCCTGCGAGCGAAGTTCTTTTCAGCTTTCTATACATTTTGTATAGGCACGTGCCCATCGCTGCTTTAAAAGAAACTGGTTGCCAGAGCTTTCCAAGTGCAGATTTTGTTGGGCTTAACTGGAAAAAGTTAAGCATGGCGTTGTTCCCTCTTTCTTCACCCTTTCTATAACCCTCAGGGTAGGAATTTTTTTTTTTACTAATGAAAATTTATTGTTGGGCGGCTGTGATTATTTTGGAATTTGTCACGAGAATTCCGAAATAACCCAGCCACGCTGAAAAGTACAAAAAAAAATTTCGGCGAAATATGCGGAAAAATATAGTACGAAGAAACCCGAAAAGTCCTGAAAAAATATAAAAAAGGGTTTGGAGCCTCACCCCTTACTTTCAAGTTTTCCCTATATACATACATATAGGCAATTCTCACAAATTCTAATTTTTTTGTGAAAATATTTTTTTCTTTAATCGTAAGCTTGGAACGATCGTCGCCAAAAATCAAATCGTAATGCATGCGATGAGTACAGTACAAACAGGCGAGAGCGTTGTTTACGCCTTAGTAGTGTTGTCGAGAAGTCGTTGACATACTTGTTCCCTGCCCACATTATGCTTGCTTCACTTAGCTCTGTGCATATTTACATATATACATACATAAATAAACACTGCTCATCTTTTGAGAAAGAATCATTTTATTTGTACTTTTTGGGTTATTAGGCAATGTCATATTAAGTAGCAATAAAATATTTTTTTCTAAACTTAAAGTGTATGTACACACATTATGACGAAAGTTTGATGCAGCGAATCGGTATCGGATGCCGAAAAGAAAGTATTGGGTACCGAAACTTTTTTCAAGTATTGGGTAACCAGTATTGGGTACCGACAATTCAGCACATCACTAGCAAGAATGACCATCACTGGTCTCAACTAATCTTAAGTCACAGATGCAGATTAATTATTTTTTCGACTCATGTCTTAATGCTGCATTTAATGACAGAGCAAGCGTCTAGACCAGTCATGCCCAACGTTGGCAGAATTCTATATGCATGTGCCCTGCGCTGGGCATGCCTGGTCTAGACAATCAAAGTTCACCATTCGAATGGGCTATAAACCTGTATATTCAAAAAATCTAACCCTCCTGAAAAAAAGTTTGAAATTTGGGTAAAAATTTGTAGCATTTTTTTGAGGTTTTCTACAAACTTTTTAACTTGGGTTTATATGGGTTTTGTAAGCGAAAGAACTGTGTTTTAAATGAAAATTCTTAAAAATAAATAAATAAACATAAGTGGCAAACAACATTTCTTTGAAATGGCGTGCTATAGATATGTATGACCGATACTGTAAATTGACGCGCTTTTAGAAATATTCATATATACATACCCTTTAATTCAATTCTAAGTTTACATAGACTGCATAGTTGTACAAATAAAAACAAAAATGCGTACATATGTATGTATGTACAGTGGTGGTCAAAAGTGGCAGTCATCCACTTCGTATTTAATATTTCCAATGTTTTTCAAGCTATAATTTTTTAAATATTTTTTATAAAAATATGGTACATGCTTTAACAAAAACCATATAAATCACATTTTCAATTTTTATACAGAATTTAGAAAAAAAAATGTATATAAATTTCGAGGTTTTTAACCAGAATTTTTTTTAAATTTTAGTAAAATTAGTGCAAGTTTTTCGCGGCTAAAAACTCGCATTGATTTTTAATCGTTTTTTTTTTGTTGATGGCGTTTTGAACTTTTTTCCATATAAACATGAATTTTTTTTATAGGAATGTGCGCAAGATCTTTTGCGAAAAAAATAAAAAATAGTCAACGTCAGTTTTCCTAAATTTTGTTTTTTATATAAAAAAAAAGAAAAACTCTTCAGCAAACAAAAAAAAAAATATTAAAATTAAGGCGATGTTTATCCGCTCAAAACTTGCACTAATTTTACTATAATTTTATAATCCTGTTAACTGCATAACCAAAAAATTTAAAAAAAATTCTGGTAAAAAGCTCGAAATTTAGATTAAAATTCATGAAATTTTTCTAAATCCTGTATAAAGTTTGAAAGTGTGATTTATATGGTTTTTGTTAAAAAATATCAAAAAAATTTTAACTTGAAAAACATTGTAAATATTAAAAACGAAACACCATTCTTCCATTTTTCACCGACACTGTATGTCCAAATCTAAATGTATGCGCCTTTGCTTGTCTCGTTGTCTATTAACGCAATCGTTTTGTCAACTTTTTTTTCTCTTAGTGCATACATACATATTTACATATGTATGATATATGCACGTACATACATATCTATGCATGTTTGTGTGTATGCACGTAGCCACTATATTTACTCAGTCGCTGACATCGTATTTTTTTGTTGTTGCAATCCAAAGTATTTTTAAAATTTGACCTATTTTCATTATCAAGCGCAAGATTATTCTAAACAATAAAAGCAACAAATTACTGTCACACAAACAAACATAAAATTGTACGTATAAATGTTTCTATAAAATCAAACGCACAAGCAGAGCGGTTAGTGAAAACGAGCAGCAACGGACTAAGTGTGTGAGAGAGAGAGGGAGATTGAGTGAATGTGAATAGAGCAGCAACGCAGAGGCAGAAAAAAAATATACATATGTAAATAAATGTTAAATGTTGTTGTAAGAATGCGTTGGCGTGCTGTTGTTGTTGTTATTTTCTTTTCTTTGAGTCACATGCGCAGCACGCAAAAGTACATACATACATACATACGTAACGCATACGCATCGTTGTCCAAATTAGCAGCGCGCCCAGGCAGCAGAGCTTCACATTATCTCGAGTGCGGCCAAAAAGCGAAAGAGAGCAAAGTGGGAATGTTCAGAACTTAAGTGAATTAGCGAGCACATGAGCTACATACATACGTATAGGCGGCCTGGTGCTGTCGGCTGCACCACCGCCTCCGCTTCGGCACCTCGACACACACCACACTTTGCCTTGTAACTCAAGCTGTGGAGATTCAAAAAACTTTTTTTATATAGGTACATACATACAAATATACTTACATACATAAAATAGTTATTTCTTGCTCTTGTCCACTGCAAAAGGGCAACTCGTTCAAATGCAACAAAAATAACAT